TTGCCATACGATCTACACACTCACTCCTACCCCTTTGCGTGCCTCTCCATGTCATTCGACAGACCTGCAACATTCGACAAGGCTAAGACCCAATGGGAAGCCTTGACAAAGTCGAAGTTCGATGGCATTAGGCATTGCTTTGGTCAGCTTGTCTATTACCGTAAAAAGGGCATTAATAAGCGCACTCTAGAACCCAACTTGGCACCTGCTTTGTTTTTGGGCTGGAGGGTTGACGCAGGCCTTCGGTATCGCCATGTGGTCAAGGTCCTAGATTATCAAGAATTTAGGACTCGTCGAGCGATTGTAGTGCATGATGTCCCGGAAGCAGAACTCTTCGTTGAAGAAGGTGAGCCTTGCTTCCCCGTTGCGGCAGCAGCCCACAAGGCGCTGCGGACGGGGGAAGCCGAGGGTGAGCTCCCAGAAGTCGCTCTTAAAGAGGTTCCGTTTAGCGAAGTAGCTGCACCGCCGACTCCCGCTCCAGGCACGCCGCGAGGCGTGTACATCACTGTGGATCGGATAATTCGGTTCCGTGAAACACCAGGTTGTCGAGGTTGTACTGGGCGCACCCGGTACCATACCCCCGAATGTCGACGCCGCTTCGCAAGGCTTGTCGATACAGAGAAAGCCGAGGAGCGCTCCAAGCGCTCGGCTGCCGTCGAGGTAGAGCGGTCACTTCGCCCCTCCGAAGCGATTGACCCAGTTCATGCAGCCAAGGAGGCACGTCTCGAAGAAGACGATGCCGACCTTAAAAAGGCACTTGAGCTTTCCCGCCTTGAAAAGGCAGATCTATCTGATCCCGATGAGCTCGAGAAAGCACTGAGGGCATCCGAAGAACATGATGATGCTCTTCGCGGCAAGCCAGCTCCGTCTCGGCCAGGGGGGATTCCTCCAACCACGCCGCCTGCAGCCACAACTGGCGCGGCGGTGACAACAACCACTGCAACCTCCACGTCACTCACGTGCCACGTAGCCGACTCCTTCACCAAGAGGGAGACTCGGACTCTGCCTGTGTTCGGCATGCCATGTTCCAAGAGGGAGCCATGCAAAAAGTTTTCCGTAGGGAATAAGAGGGCCCGCAAGCGTATCGCGCGGGGAAATTCTATGCCTGTAATGTTCGAGTATGCATGTTCAAGTGACTCCACCATGGGAGCAGTGCATCAAGCATTGGGCATTCCCCACGTGAGACTGGCTAAAGAACACATCGATCTTGAAACCAATGAAGGGGATGAGCAACTGACCGCTCAGTTGCAGTCTTGTAGCAAGCCTAACATGTGGGCAGCCATTCCGTGCACCTCCGGGTCGCCATGGCAACGGCTAAATGTCCATAAGTATGGCAACAAATACAAGCAGTATCTCCGTGCACAGGTTAAAAGATCGGAGGCGTTGTTCGCAATGTTCACAAAGCACGCCGAAGTAGTGATAGAACAAGAGGGTCACGTCACTTTCGAGTGGCCTCGCGACTGCGAGGGATGGGAGCGCCCCGACGTAAAGGCATTCTTCGAGAAGCATGCGTCTCGCTTCCACTCAGTGACTTTCCACGGGTGTGCAGTAGGTCTAACTGACAAGGAAGGGACTCCCATCAAGAAGCCGTGGCGTCTCATGACCACATCCAAGGAACTTCATGATGGGTTCCAGAATAGGACATGCCCCCACCAACACTCCTTCAAGCATGCACAGGCCGCAGGTAGCAACACTGCACGCACCGCCTTTTATCCACAAGAAATGTGTAAGATAATCGCTAGTGCGTTATATCCGCATGTCGCAACACCATGCGCGCCTGCAATGCCAGTCCAGGCTGTCATCGTGCAAGAGGAGCATCGGGAAAAGGAGCAGTCCTTGAAGCATACCTCCGCACTTTCGGGTGTTGGGGCTCTTGCGTCAGTGGTTGAATCAGATCCAACATCCCGCAGATTCTTTGAAGAACTCTTTGACTTGGATAATCTCGTTAGGGAAATTCAGGGAATTCCAAAGCAGGAGACGTCTCCCGACATAGCCGCCATGGTCACAAAACTTCTTTCACGTTCAGAGATGCTTGCCTCGTCCGAGGCATTGCAGGCCGTAAAGGAAGAAGCAGACGGCTTAAGTAATGCGGGAGTCTGGGATCTCAGCACCGTGAGAGAGCAAGGAGAGGTCGCTGCTGAAGCGCGACGGACGCACACTAAAGTCCACTTCGGGCAACTAATGACTATCGCCTCCATCAAATTCTTTGAGCTAGCAAAGCATCTACAGAAAGTGAAGGGGCGTATAGTATACCGAGGGGACTGTGCGCGGGACGAATATGGGGCGGCGGCCGTTTATCAAGAACTCGGCGCCAACCCTACGTCCGTTCAGGGTTTGAACAACTGCCTTGCCTACGGCTCACTGCCAGGTCACAAAACCACGGCGGCAGACGCCGTAAAGGCATATATCCAGGCCCTACTTCGATCTCAACATCAGACGTGGATATCATTGCCGCCGGAACTTCGTCCGAAGTGGTGGAAAGAAAAGTTTATAAAACCGGTAGTCCTTCTAGTAAAAGCACTCTACGGTCACCCCGACGCGGGGGGGCTATGGGAGCAGCACTTCAAGAAGATCTTGAAGGAGCAGACCGGAGAGGAGATCCAAGAATTTCCAGGAAACTTTTACTTCCCCTCAACCGGCTTAATGCTATCCACTTATGTGGATGATCTAACACTTTCAGGGCCGGCAGAGCAGCATGATCCCTTTTGGGAAAAGCTGATGTCATGTGTTGATATTGAACCCCCAGAACCGATATATCGTGTTTTGGGAAGGAATCATGTCATCATTAACGCCCCGAAGTGCGAGCCTAATCCAGCCGAGAGCGCAGCCTTTGGCGCGCTGTCCAACGCAATGGCTTTTGATATGGTTGACTACGCCAAACAAACTGTAGATTTGTATGTCTCCATTTCAGGTCAGCCGATTAGTAAACTCCGCAAGGCATTGACCCCATTCTGTCCAGAAGGGTCATTGCCAACACAAGATGATGCCGAAGCAGGTGAATTGAGCTCAGCCGCTTGTAAAATCTTGATGAAGGCCTTGTGGTTGGGACGTCTTGCACGTCCAGACATAATCAAGCCCATCGGGGATCTTGCAACGTGCGTTCAAAAATGGTCGCGTAATAATGATAGGCAGTTGGCTAGGCTAATAGCTTACATTAACACGACCGCAACGCACAGGTTGGTTGGCACAGTTCAAGACGATCCCAGAGAGCTGCATCTTGCGCTCTACGTCGACGCTGACTTTGCAGGAGAGGAGGGGGCCAAGTCCACGTCAGGGGGGTTTCTCGCCCTGAAAGGTCCGAATTCCCACTTCCCCTTAGCATGGATTAGCAAGCGCCAGACTTCTGTGTCGCGTTCCACTACAGAAGCAGAGATTGTGTCGTTAGCATTTTCTTTGTATCAGGAGGGACTCCCGACACTTAGTCTGTGGGATCGACTATTGGGTCGCCCAATGACCCTCAGGATCCATGAAGACAATCAAGCTACTATTCTGGTTGCAAGGAAAGGGCACTCTTCGAAGTTGCGATCAATTTCTAGGACACATAGGGTTAACCTAGCATCCCTTGCAGAACAGTTACAGGAAGGCACTGGAGTAGAGCTTGAATATGTGAAGACCGATTTCCAAGCTGCCGATATCTTTACCAAGGCTTTGCCTCCACATAAGTGGGATCACGCCTTGAGGCTCCTGGGAATGCGCACAGACCTCCCAGAAGAGCTAGAAGATACTCGATTCAACATCAAAAAGTAGAAAGTCATTCCGAAAGTAGTGCTGTGAGTACTAAGAGTGCCAAAATATCCTTCATCCTTGTAAAGCCTTGATGGCCGGGAGCAGCGTATCGCGCTCCAAAGCTAAAACTTACCCTGCCTTAGTGCACACGGCGAGGGGGGAGTCAAGAAATAACGACCCCTTAGCCCCCAAAGGCATGGTAACTTGCCTAGTTGTGTGGTCACTGATGTGAGGTTTGCATGAGGCCACTTTGGTTTAGGTTGAGGGTTGCATGTCATGACAGACTTGTCAAACGGCAAACGCCGTTTGGCTCAAGCGCTCACTGAAAAAGGGCGCTGAGTGCGGAACTAGAGTGTAGAGACAACCCCCTGAACCGCTGAGGGATTAACCACGGTCAATCCACCTCTTTTTGTTCAGGGCGCAGCCTTCGGCGCGCGTTTGGGGTTTCTTGCTCTTTTGATTGGTTTAGGCTTGATTCAGCTTGGTATACGTGGGTTTAGGCTTCCTTTTGCTCAAGTTAGAATTCACTCACGGTTGGTTTCATGGTTGGTTGAGGGTTGGATTGCTCGGGTTGATATGAAATATAATCTGAACATATCATTTTCTCCAGAGGGCCAACTCGAACGGGCGTGTCTGGTTCTTTCTTTAAGAGGAGGCCCCTTGTGGCTTTACGGGAGCCCAAAAGGCAAGCCCCACCATGCTTCCCCCTCCCCGAATCCCGAATCCATGCGATCCGGCCGATTCAATGGTCTTGCCAACTGCGCGGCCTTCTGCACGAAGTTAGGTGGTCTCCAGGTGGTTTCCTGTTGGTTTCCTTTGGGGACCTAGTAGAGGTGAGTGACCATCTCTTCTCTACGTTCCTAACCTCCAGTCTCTTTTGGATGGTCAACTAGGTCCCCCAGCTAGGTGCCCGTTCTCACCGTTTCTTTTTTGGTTGAGAGGGTTCCCCTACTAAAATAGGCTACAGGAAAAAGTTGGTACCAACTTATTCTAGCCTCACTGGAGGACCTAGTGTCATCCATTTGCTCAAGAACATTGTTTATTTTCCCTTGCTAGTTTTCAATGGAATCGATTTCACTACTGGATATTGTTTTTATTTTTCCAGGGGGCGAAAAAGCAAATGGAAGGCGTTCACCCACGTTTTGGTTGAGAAGGTTCCCCTACGAAAGTATGTTCTACAAAACAAAAAGTTGGTACCCTTATTCTAGCCTCTCTACTGGAGGACCTAGCGTTGGTTTCCTGCGGGTTCCTGGTCCCTTGCCTTTGGATCTGAGGCTTGCCCCATCAGTGGAGGAGCTGCGTGTGCTGCAGCGTCGCATCGCGGAATGCGCAGGCAAGCAGAGCCCATGGTCCAGGGAGTCTGCTCCAAGCAAAGCCACCTGGGGTCTCCATTTCCTGCTGTATTTGTCTAGTCCTTGGTTCCATTTACCAGGGCAACCCAATCAAGGTAATTCCCTATTTTTGATCCACAGCCATACCTTGACTGCTATTGGGCAAAGGATCTTTAGACTTTTTAACTTTTAGTTGAATCAAGCAAAGGGTTTCCTTACTAAACCCCAAAAAGTTTAAAAATAAAAAAATAAAAATGCAGGGGGGTCAACAGCAACCAAGCTTTTGCGGCTGTAGTTGTCCCCTTCTGGTGTTGAGGGGATTCCATCACTACTGGAAATTATAGTTCAATTTTGTCTAGAGGACTTGAGCAAATGGACGTTTATATCTTAGGGTAGGCTAGATATGAAGCTCAACATATTTTTGTGGGAGTACGACAGCCAACCACCAGAAGGTGCGGATATCCTTTGATTCCTTGCATGGTTTCTGGTACACCTTTTTAGTACTAGCTTTTTCATCCTCGAGGATTTTTTAGAACAAGCTTAAGTAGATGTTGGTTTCTAGAAGGCGTGCTTTGTGCCTTTTCTGGGTGGTTGCTTGCGCAACACCCAAGGATTTCCTCAATTGCGCTGCAAAGCCATGGGTATGCAGCCAGGGCTTTGTGCTGGGCTCATGATTTCAACGGTTTCTGGGGGGTTGCTGTGGATGGACGAAAATCCATTTCACACCACCTAAGAAACGCTGGAATGATTCGACTCCCATGCAAATACCAACAAAGGTAATGGTTTCAACCATGGTTTCAAAGTGGTGCGAACGGATTGTTGTCCATCCACAGTATCAAAGTCAGAAGATTGAGTTATGTCCCACCTACCACTTGGGGCCCGCTAGCGGGGTGGGGACAAGGCTTATGGCCACGAAAGGTCGGCTCCATAAAAAAGATCCCCCAATAGGTTTCCAATTTTTACCGTTTCTTTTTTGGTTGGGAGGGCAAGCCCCAGAAAAAAGTAGACAGAACAAAGTCGGTACCAACTTATTCCAACCTCACTGGAGGACCTAGAAGGTACCCGCCCGGGCTCCGCGCCGCCATTTTTGGAGGGCAACATTTGTGACCTTCCACAGGACGCAGAGACCACCCCCTCCCCAAAGCCACGTCTAAGATTGCCCTCCCATGGAAGACAGGAGGGTTTGTGAATCCTGCTTTCCTTCTGGGCAGGTCACTGCACTTCCATGATTTGTGAAGTGACCCGTTTCAGATGCAATTCTCACTTGCGATTTGAAGTCTTGGCCTGTCCACGTCCATGGAAAGGGTACAGTATTTGCGTTTGTGTGTGTGTTGTTGAGGTTCTTTTGGGTTGCTTGAAAGGGAAGCCAAAAGAACCGAATTTGTTCGGGTTCCCCAAAATTAGGCGCACCCGGGGAATCGGCAGGTGTCAGCAAGGCTCCTTGGCGGCAGTTTCAAGTCGGTTCCCAGCCATACCCGTAGACGTTAGCAGGGGATCAACGAACCACCAACTCAGCTTGAGCTTATGAAAGATGTTGTTCCCTTTGTGGTACTTGTCCCCTATGAAATTATGCTGTGCAAGGAACGGCTGAGTCTGAGTCGCATTGTGACCCAAAAACCCGCCGACAGCCTGCCGGGAAGGCCGAAGCTTCCCCAAAGGGCCAAGGACTACCATGCATGTACAGTGCGTGGACGGCATGCCTTGCTTCTGTCATCCCCACTCCCTTAAACATGGAATTGCGGGAGGGGAGTGACCACTGGAATTCCATGACTTCCCCTTTTATGGGGAAGACTATGTAAATGGGTAGGGCGGATCTTCTGTACCTTCACGGGATTGAGCTTTGGCTTCCTTTGGTCATCGACTGCACGTAGCTGCAAGCAACAGAGGGGCCTCCACCTTGGCATCGATTGGTGGGTGTCTTTTTTCCAATATGGGTGTGGCTCAAAGTTAAACAAGAGGGGCAAACCGCAGGTTTTGGTCCATGTTTCCACTTACCAGGGTAACCCAGTTTGGAATTCCGGTTTTTTGAGCCACAGCCATATGTTTCCTGGAAAACCCCATCCGCAGAGTTGTTGCAACCCGAAGAATGCGACCGCTTTCCGTTGGCTCCTGGCCAACCCAAAGGCATGTGGAACTGGATACCTCCCGAAGGATTCCCCTTCGTCACAAGGGTCTGGTTGTTCAGAGTAGTTCCCCCACCGTGTTTTTTTTTCCTTCTTTTTTTCTGCTTTTTTTTCCCCGAAAGCATGGCGAAGGGTTCTTCCGCTGGGTTCACTTGAGTTGTTCTCATGAGAGTCATTACAAGGTGTCATTGCAAGGAATCATCATCATGAAAGTCAATGCAAGGAGTCATTGCAAGGAGTCATTGCAAGGAGTCATTGCAAGGAGTCATTGCAAGGAGTCATTGCAAGGAGTCATTGCAAGGAGTCATTGCAAGGAGTCATTGCAAGGAGTCATTGCAAGGAGTCATTGCAAGGAGTCATTGCAAGGAGTCATTGCAAGGAGTCATTGCAAGGAGTCATTGCAAGGAGTCATTGCAAGGAGTCATTGCAAGGAGTCATTGCAAGGAGTCATTGCAAGGAGTCATTGCAAGGAGTCATTGCAAGGAGTCATTGCAAGGAGTCATTGCAAGGAGTCATTGCAAGGAGTCATTGCAAGGAGTCATTGCAAGGAGTCATTGCAAGGAGTCATTGCAAGGAGTCATTGCAAGGAGTCATTGCAAGGAGTCATTGCAAGGAGTCATTGCAAGGAGTCATGAGAGTCATTGCGAGCTGCGCATGGAGTCAAGTGCAAGTTGCAAGTGCAAGGAGTCAAGTGCAAGTTGCAAGTGCAAGGAGTCAGGTGCAAGTTGCAAGTGCGTGGAGTCAAGTGCAAGTTGCAGGTGCAAGGAGTCAAGTGCAAGTTGCAAGTGCAAGGAGTCAAGTGCAATTGACTTGCGAGGAGTTAAAATCTCTTCTTAGGGCGGCGGGGTAGTGCCGACGACACTACACGAAAATCGACCCTCTGCGGGGATCGGCGTGGTCGAGGTGCAAAAACCCATGGTTTTTTGCGATTTCTAAAGTGCTCGCGCGACCCTCTGCGGGGATCGGCGTGGTCGAGGTGCAAAAACCCATGGTTTTTTGCGATTTCTATCATGCTCGCGCGACCCTCTGCGGGGATCGGCGTGGTCGAGGTGCAAAAACCAATGTTTTTTTGCGATTTCTGCGGTGCTCGCGCGACCCTCTGCGGGGATCGGCGTGGTCGAGGTGCAAAAACCCATGGTTTTTTGCGATTTCTAACATGCCCGCGCGACCCTCTGCGGGGATCGGCGTGGTCGAGGTGCAAAAACTCGAGGTTTTTTGCGATTTCTGCGGTGCTCGCGCAACCCTCTGCGGGGATCGGCGTGGTCGAGGTGCAAAAACTCGAGGTTTTTTGCGACTTTTGTTGTTCGATCTGGTCCTCGGGAGTTGTCTCGTGGTTCGCGCGCCTGCTCCCGGAACCGGCGGGTCGCGGGTTCGATTCCTCCCTGGTCCGCGGGCGGGCGTCGCAAGATGCAACTTGCATTTTAAAGCAACTTGCGCAGAGCAACTTGCGCAGAGCAAGTTGCACAGAGCAACTTGCGCAGACCAACTTGCACCGACCAGTTTGCGCAGAGCGCCTTGCCTAGAGCAACTTGCGCAGAGCAACTTACGCAGAGCAACTTGCACAGAGCAACTTGCACAGAGCAGCTTGCACAGAGCAACTTGCAGGGAGCGCAATTTGCACAGAGCAACTTGCAGGGAGCCACTTGCAGGGCAACGGAGCAACTTGCGCGGAGCAACTTGCGCAGAGCAACTTGCACAGTGCAACTTGCGTAGAGCAACTTGCGCAGACCAACTTGCACCGACCAGTTTGCGCAGAGCACCTTGCCTGGTGCTGTCTCGCGCTTGCTTCACAAATGTTTCGTGGAGGGAAAAAGAACGCATCCTGCAGCGGTGGGCCGACCTCGCTTGCGATGTTATGCTTTCGGGCCAACCGTGGTCTAGTTTTTTTGGGGGGGTGGGGGGAGCTTTCACTTTTGGTGGTCCCTAATTCGGATCCCGTCAGCTTCAGTCCAAGAAAACCGCGGGCTGGGCGGTCCATATCGATTCAGCTTCAGCTTTAGCCTAACTTTGCTTTTCGCCCGAGCAAACTTGGATTCTGGAATTGATCCCATCCCTTCAACCAACCGCAAGCCGAAGCCGGAACGGATCCCAGAACCTCTTCAACCTGCCCCCCCCCTAAACACCCCGGATCGATCCTTTCCCGGATCCGATTCGCTTTCGCCGAGTCGCCGAGGAATCCGTCAAGTCTGTTCACCCGGAAAGCTTCTTTTCACCCGAAAGAAGCCGTCGATTCCGAGTCGATTCCGCGCCGAGGAGAGTCTGTCGAAGAGGATCTTGTCCAGCAGCTCCGTGAGTACCATGGCCTCCGAGGAGGATGCCATCGGTCACAAGGCATCCGAGATCCGAGCATCCGAGATCCGATCATGCGACCTCCAAGAGCTGAGAGCCGAGGGATCCGCGAGCCGCGGGTTTTTTGTTGTTTTTTTGTTGTGGCCAGGGGCGGGAGCCGCGAGCCGAGGGTTTTTTTGGGTTTTGTTCTGCCGGTTGTGGCCCGGGGGGGGGAGGGCAAAATGGTGGTTCTCCTTTTGGGATTCCTTTAACACCACGAAAAAGTGGCCCTCGAAAAAAAGACGTGAGGAGCCACCTGAAGTCGGGATTCAATCCCTGGACTTGATGCTTTGGGGCAGTTTTTGGCTCCACTCAGAGCTGTTGGGGCCATTTTCTTAAAATGGGGAACCCGAAACAGCGGTGCCAACTGAAAGCAAAGACGCAGCCACATTGCCCCCCGACCGCCTTCAGAGAGGCGAAACCCACCAAAAACACAAATGCCAAATCAAACAAAGCAACACAAGTGTGGTTTACCTGGGGTGTTTTTCCTTTACACCCCACCCTACAAAACGGCACAACTCAAACTTAGAAAAAAGTGTGGTTCCCTTGTTGGTGTTCCTTTCACCCCCACCCAAAAAAACACCCGGCTTTCCTTTAAAGCCCCCCCCAAAAAGACGGGGGAGGGGGGCAAAGATATCCCGAGAAGGGCATGGCCGGCCGGGCGCCTCGGCCCAACTTCCGGGGAATCCGGTCGCGAGGGCCTGGAGGCCGGGCACATGCCCAAGGCGCGGTCCTGTGGCTCCGTAAGCTCTCTGCGCCTCGGCTGGACTCGATGCACCGGGATGGCGGGCTGCGGTCGCTTGGGGTAGGCGGGTTGATGGTTGGTTCGGGACGGAGGTGAATCGCGGCAATTTGGTGCCAGGTGCCCGACCTCTCACCGTTCGTTTTTTTGGTTGGGTTGCATGCCTTTTCCCCAACAGCTCAAAGCTACTAGGTCCCCCAGTGTTGCCCTTTTGCCCTTTGTTGGTTGGGAGGGTTCCCCTACTGAAACAGACCACAGAAAAAAAGTTGGTACCAACTTATTCTAACCTCTCTACTGGCGGGAGGGGTTGACGGGACGGAGGAATTTAAAAACTTCGGGAAAAAAAGGAGCTTTGGAGAAATGTAGGCATTCTTTGCGGGAGATCCAAAACAAGAGGTTCCAATGTACGACTATCAAATCCCTGTTCCATTGTGTGAAACAAATCCAAGCATTGTTTCTATGTAGAATTGGATATGCCGAATATACCAAATCTGATTGATATTCATCAAATCAATTGTCCAGCTAAATCCAAGAAATGAATAAACTCAATGTTCCAGCCTAGGTCCCCCAGTAGTGCCCGTTCTCACCCCTTTTTTGGGGGGAGGGTTCTCCTACTAAAATAGACGTCCAGAAGGAAGTTGGCACCAACTTACTCTAACCTCTCTGGAGGACCGAGCAACTGTTTAAGCTTCCCATCCCATTCTTTTCATGGAGCTGTTTGGTCCTTGGGCGGCCTCCTTCCAGACACGGGCCATGGGAGGAGAGGTGTCCTGATGGACAGGTGTCCTATCTTGCTGGTGCGATAGGTAGGGAATGACCCCGTGTTGGGAAGGGGATTCCCTTAAAGTAAACCTTAGGGGATGGTTTATAGGAAATGGTCAGTCCATGTCTCATTGCTTGAGAACCAGCGATCTTTGAGGCTTGCTTTTAGGCTAGATGGGCGACTGGCGGAGATGGGCATTAGGTCACCTGAGCCACAATCAAAACCTGGGTAGACGAAGGTTAAGGGCCAGTCCCAGCTGGAAATAGTTGCGGAATTCCGCCTTTCTAATTCTTGCAGCATGGTTCTAGGTTCACCATGTTTGTACCAGGTTTTGATTGTGACTCACCTTGTGTTTGCAAAGAGACCCGGGGTTACCTGCGGACATGAGAGACTTGAAGGACGTTCTTGTCGAACTCTTGATGGCAATCAATACAATGGGAACAACTAGGTCCCCCAGTAGTGCCCTTGTGCCATTTTTGGGGGGAGGGTTCGGAAATCAATCAACCTACAGCTAGTGACTCCCTTGTTTAGTTCACTATGAGTCGCTGTTGCTTTGGGGACGAGAATTCGACAACCCAAAAACTGCTGACACAACCGGGGAGGGCAAAGAAAAGGTCCCAGGTAGTTTTGCAGAGTAGTTTTGTCCAGGGTTCCGCTGAATTTCTCTCAGCACCTGAGCCAAGACTCGACCCGATCCCAAAAGAACCGACGTGAGCGAGAAAGGAGCCAGCGTTGGATGGGAATCAACCACTTCATCACAGGAAGGTGTACATGTCGGGTAATGAGCATAATGTCGAAAAACAAATGGCAAGTTTTGCTGGCACCGATAGTTGCAGAGTCGCATGTTCAAGCACGACCATGAGAATGCCGGTGGTCCGAAAGGAAATGCAACGGTAAGTCGGAGACCCTGAAACGGTTGCATCGATTCTGTAATCATAGCAACACTGCAAACCCATGGTGAATGCTTTGTTTCATGGAGATGCGCTTCGTAAATTGGGTTGGCGAATTACGATGAGTCATGTCACAGGTAAATGTTCCCCAAATTCAATAAAGTAAGCTCAACTAGGTCCCCCCAGTAGTGCCCTTTCTCTCCCCTTTTTTGGGGGAGGGTTCCCTACTAAAATGGACTACAGAAAAAAGGGTACCCTTATTCTAACCTCTCCACTGGAGGACCTAGTCAAGTAAACTCAAAGCCGAGCATCTATCTCCTTGCAGCTTCGGCCATTTTCTTTGGCACTTCGATTTGAGCAGCTTTCAGTCTGACCAAAACGAGGGCTCCCCCATGCCCCAAACCTCGTGGATTTTCTGGGGCTGAGGGGAAGCTGGTTGTAAGCTGGCGGTTTGGCCTTGGTTTGGAGTGGGATTTGAAGCCCTGAAACTTGTGGGTGGCTGGGAAACCACCCCACCAAAGAGTCGATCCAAGCCGCAAATTATAGGGTGAAGCTGAGCTGTGTTGTGACAGGGAGGTTCCCTTCTAGGTCCCTCAGTAGTGCCCTTAGTGCCCCTTTTTGGGGGAGGGCTCCCCTACTAAAATAGACTACAGAATAAAGGGTACCCTTACTCTGACCTCTCTGCTGGAGGACCTAGCCTGAGTTCCCTACAGCGGTGAATGGAGTCACTATACGGCTTTGTTTTCTGCTCACGTGGTTGACACGAATTACATCCAGCTCAGGCTTGAGCATCACCGGAGAACCACCTTGGGCCCTTCTTTTTGGGCGCGTTCTGGTCGCCAGTTTTGTAGTCTCCTTGCACCAGAGTTTCTGAGCATCAAGCCTCGGGAGTCCCCAAACTTGGTCGGGAAACAAAAGATTTCAAAAGCAGACCCGCGATCTTCTTTGGGGGGGGGGAGGGAGGGGAGGGGTTTCCATTTTGCAGAACCCCCCAAGATGACGTGTGTTTGTTGGGGAGGGGGAGGGATTGCTATTTTCAGAACCCCCGCGATGACGGTTTCTTTGTTGTTGTTTTTTTGGGCCTTCCTCTTCAGAAGCCCCCACCGCCGAGGTGCTCTGAGTTTATCCTGGACGATGGCGCGGGGGATGGGTCGAGGGGTTTAGATTCTAGGTCCCCCAGCTAGGTACCCTTTGACCAACTTTTTGGGGGGAGGGTTCCACTAAAATAGACTAGAGGAAAAACAAAAAAAAAGAAGAAAAAAAACATGTACCCTTCTTCTAACCTCTCTGCTGGAGGACCTTGGATTGGTGGACAGCTTTCAGCTTGTGCCAGCCGCATAAAACTCGCGGAGGGGGGAAATGGGAGACTTGTGTCCTCAAGCAAAGAACAGTCCCCCAAAAGTGACCCTGTTCATGTCAGGACCCCTCAGTCCCTCCATATAATATGTTTGGGACTTGAGCCAGCCACAAGCAAAATTCTGCCAATAGACCCCATGGTGATGTGGCCCTTCGCATGGTGTAACCCAAAAGGGTGCCCTCGAAAACGCCATGGGCGTCCCTTGGTTTCCCTTTGCACATGAAGAAAGGGTCAAATTGAAAAACCGCCAGGGTTTCCGCTTACCAGGGTTCCGTTTTTAGGTTCCCCTATGTTTGACACAGCCAAATGTCGAAAGGGCACCACCCGCATTCCCAGTTCCGCGCATCCTGGAAGGCGCTGGAATTTCCGTGTCCACCTGACGGAATCAAGATATTTAGCTCTCCTGCCCAGAGCAAATCCAGCTGTTGGTTTCCCTGATTTGGTGGTTTAGTCCAGGTTCCCGAACAGTTGATCACCTCTTACTGTCGGGTCTTTTGGACTGAGTCAGGCTGGACGACATCCGAGCCACAATCAAAACCCGGGTAGATGAAGGTTCGTAAGGGACAATCCCAACCAGAAATAGTTCCGGCCGCCTTCTCAATTCTTTACATGGTTCTGGGTAGACCATGTTAATACCGGGTTTTCATTATGATTCATCTGAATCCGAAGATATGTGTTTCTGTCTCTGGGCCTTCGTGAACATGACTGCAGCACGGCTGTTCAGCGGTTAGGCTGCAGCTGCTTCTCATTCGACGCGATGGGTATGTGACATGTTGTACCAGCTTCTTCCGTCGTTGCCACAGGGATTTCAAAAGGACAAACGATCCGTCGTCACCATTCTTAGGACACCATGACATTGTTTGCAGGGAAAACGCGGGAGATTTCCGACTTCCGCAAGCTCAGCCTTGAAGTATGTGTTGTGGTCCATCCTTCCTAGGTGCATTTGAGTTATGTTAGATCATAGTTAGATAGCCTTTCTAACGCTAGGTTATGTTATGTGATAGTTATGTTAGTCTAATGTGAGTAACTGACCACATGATTGCTACTTACTTTGCTGTCGGCTTGGGTGAAAAGCATAGCCCCGATGTTCCGGATCCAAAGCCAGTGTTCCTTTGCCAGCTTCCCCATGTCCTGGATTGAGACCGTAAAGGGAAGCCGCGAAGAGACGTCGGCCGGAGGTCAGATCGCCCCCATCCTCGAGGCGGGGCTGTTGGTTGCTTTCAATGATGTGAGCTTATCGGATTTTATTGAGGACCCTCAGAGGCACCCCGTAAAGTCGATCATTTCCAAACGAAAGGGGGAACTCCCCCTGACTAGTGTCCGGATGTAGCAGTCATGTGGATGGGCGTTGTCCTGAAGGGGGCAAAAGCTGACCGACATGGATGGGCAACTCGTGAATCGGGAGCTTGGAACAGGAATCATGATTGCAGAGGTTCCAAAGTCAAGGAAAGGACTTGGGACAATGAGCACACGCACAGACCGAGACTGCTAGCATCTGCGTCTATTTGTGACCAGCTTGCTGGAGGTTGCGCTCTCGGAGAGCGATTTGAGTGCTCGGGTAGGCCACAAGAATGGGACACCTCCATTTGAAGCTCACCAAGGTGTGGTCCCCTTTTCTTGGTCCAAGTGTCTTGGGATTTTTGGGGGAATTCTTTGTTCAGCATCTAAAGTGGTAGCAGATGTACATGGTAACTGGTAGACGACCTTGTTGAGGCAAGCGCTGGTTGGCAGCGACGACTTAGGTGGTCATCGTTTGTTCACTGCTCTTGGCGCTTGTCTCCCCCCTCGGAATCAGCTAAATGGGCAAGCCGGGCACACACACACACACGCGCGCGCACACACACACACACCCGATGCCAAAAAAGGCATTGTTTCACCACCTATTTGTGGCGCTCCCCATTCACCTGATGCCAAAAGCACATGTTTTGCCACCTATTTGTGGCGCTCCCCATTCAAAGACGTTTCAAAGACCACCCACGTTGGATGGCGCTCTTGGGCCGTCAGGAAGAGCCCCGGATCGCTTCAGCCAAGGATGGCAGCAAGGACGGGAGGGTTGTTGAGCCAAGCGAGCGGGGTCAAAATGAATCCACCGGGAGATGGGCCGCAGGCTCTTTCTTTTTCCCACTCTTGTAAAACCAGTTTGCAGGTTTCTCCTTTGGGTGCCTATGAACCGCACCCATATTGCAAGCAAGTCGGCCGATCCACGGGAATCAAAGTGAGGAGACATGTGTCTCAGCCCCAAAAGGATGGCATTTCCTTGAGCTTTCCCGGAGAAACCAAGCAAAAAAGGGGTTCCCCCCCAGGAAAAGAACCAAAAACGTGGTTCGTTGCTTCAACTTTTGGCTCTTTGAGTTTCCGGGGAGGTTTGGAGCATTCCAATCCATGGAGCCTTGATTTCTTTCCCCTCTGCGCCGAGGTTTTGATTCTGAGGCTGGCTGGGGTATATCAGTTTTTCCCACTGTTGCCCTGGAACCAAGGGATGCCCCTAAACACCCGGGTAGATGAAGGTTTTAGTAAGGGACAGTCCCAACCATGAATGGCTGCGGCTGCCTTCTTAATTCTTTAAATGGTTCTGGGTAGGCCTGAAACCTTTTGTGTCTTGGTTCCTTCTTGTGCCTCGGGTGTTTCTTGGGCCCAAAGACCGGGGTGAAAAAACCAGTGGCAGGTGGAATTCACACACAACCAAGTGCCGAAGACCATCAACCTCGCGCCTCGCAACGCACCTGCGAGGTACCAGTCGTTAAGCCTCTGTGGAGTCTCTGCTGTTGCCATCCCCTTGTTGCATGACTAGGTCCCCAAGTAGTACCCTTTTACCCTTTTTTGGGGGAGGGTTCCCCTACTAAAACAGACTACAGAAAAAAGGGTACCCTTATTCTAACCTCCAATTACTGGAGGACCTAGATGAAGCCAACTTGGAAGATCCTGGAAAGATCGATCCCTCTGTTTTTTGTTTTTTCCTTTTCTCCGAGAAGCATGCCCAATTGTCGTATCTGTTCTGGTGGACGAAGCTCGGGTTTGGGCCAAGGATTCTGAAGCCGGGGCTGCAGATTCATCAACCTGGCAGATTCCTAATGATTCCTGGAATACCTCCAAAATGGGACCTGGCAAACCGGGCCTTTGCTGATCCTGCATCACCACCATGCATGTGTTTTTCTTGGGGACAAAACGCAAAGCAAATCGGGGTCAGGGATTCTTTGGGTTGGCGGCTGGTTTTAAAGGTCAAAGGACCAAGTCTGGTCCCGCTGAGTTGAAAAGCTCGCTTCCCCAGTTGCTTACCATGGTTTGGGAACATGCTGCTGTTTATTTTCGTCCGGTAACAGCTACTTTCTTTTACCCTGTTGCCAAGCGGACACCCGGTACGGGAATCCAGCACATTGTGGGTCACAGAAAGGGTCCAATGCTCCACAAGCATGTTCCTGGACTTGATACTTGGTGCTCTCATTTTAGTGTCAAGGAAAGAAGTATGCTTTCTCAAGATCGAGTTGAAGGGGGTAAGAGGGTCGCTGGTGTGTTGGGAAAGTCGACCCGTCCGTAGGGTCCATGAGCATCTGGGTGGTTGAAAGCCGTGTTGGTCTCATTCCTTTCCATCGTTTGCCTCCATCCTTTCCGCTCACACACTCACCTCTCCATTTCCTGTTCCTTTGTCTGCCTGTAAATGGACTAGGTTTTTTCAGTAGTGCCCTTTTGCCCTTTTTTGGTTGGGAGGGTTCCCTACTAAAATAGACTACAGAAACAAAAGGTAGCCTTATTCTGGAGACCTGGAGGTGCGTGACCATCTCTTCCCTACGTTCCTAACCTCCGGTCTCTTATGGTCGAGCGCGCTGGGCTGAGGCCGCGGAGTTCTCGAAGCAGACGCTGAAGGGCAAACCCACCACGATGATGATCCGCGGCCTCGGTGGCAGAGACCGGCCGATTCGCGCTTGGCCCCGACTTTTTCCTTTGAAGTGACCATGGGTCATAACCTATGATTCCATTTTGGGGCGCATGAACACCCATGTACAACCCAGCGACCGGCCGATTTGCGCTTTGCTCTGTTTTTGTTTACTGTGGATGGACCAAATCCGTTCGCAACAGTTTGAAACCATGATTGAAACCATTTCTTGTTTCCATTCTTGTTGGTGTTTGCAGGGGAATCATCATTCCAGGGTTTCTGAGGTGGTGCAGGATTTCGTCCATCCACAGTATTACCTACAAAGCAGAGAGGGGCTTGGGAGGAGGTCTGACATGTGTGCGACTATGTCTATGGGGTTCTGTGTGTGCATGCCGGTGGAACCTCTCATGGCCACATGCAAGAGTTCCCCTGAATTCTTTGAACCTCCTGAGAGTCCACGGAGGAACGCGCGGTAGCAGCAGCTGGATTTGTCGGGCCGTGCTTGCCATTTGCAGTTCTCACTCAGGACGAAGCAAGCTTTGTGAGGACCCTAGCTGTTGGTTTCCTTTTGCCCCCCACAAGAGGGTACCAACTTCTTTGGGAAGCCGTTTAGTGGCAAAGTTCGAATGTTTGGCCAATCCACTCACGTGAATCTAGCTGTACCTTCCCCATTCTCTTCTGGTCTGGGAAACAGTGTATTGTTTTTAGGGGAACCCCCTACTTCAGACAGCCAAACAGGGTACCCTCAAAAAAGCAGTGTTTAGTGGTAGTTTCCATTTAAGCCACTAAAAGTTAAACTTTTAGCGGGGGATCTGAGGGCAGCCCAGTCAAATGGGCTAACCCGAGTTGCCTCGATGTTGTCCCGAGGCAACATCCCGAACCGCTACACCCAGCGCGAGTTCGTAAGGGAGTTGGACGATCTTGGCTTCGCCGGCACCTACGACTTCCTGCCGCTCAACAGCATTTGGTTGTGACCATAGGTGCGGGAATGTGGGAGTGAACCCATTGATTCCCCTAAGGGAAGTTTGTAGGGCGCATTCCCTCATTTTGTGCTGAGCACACGCATTTGGGTTCTTTCTTGAGGCACAAGAGCTGAGGTACTTTTGGGAGTTTTGACATGGTCTTCTATGTGTTGACCCCGGATTAATAAACTGGTCCTGTTAATGGGGGTATCCCTCCAAAAGTGGTTTGAATCCCCACTAAACCTAGGGACTCTTCCATATCAATACTGGCTTATGACTTCGTCGACATTCCTTCCATTCTATGGTTGTCAGGGCCCAAAGAGTGGTCCCCCTGCAAAATGGTCCTGAACTCAGCAGCACATCCCGAATTGTCACAGCCTCGGTCTGCAACTTGAGGCTTCTCTCAGCCTCAGCCCCTGGGATGCTCCCCAAAACCTCTTCGTGGCTTTTCTCTCGCCGGGCAAGCCCGCGGGGCCAGGGACTCCATGGGACCGCGTCGCTGGGTTGGACGCCGCGGCTTCCCGAGGTATCTGCCCATCGACAAGGGCACGCTCTGCAACGCCGCTCGCTCGGCAAAGGATGCCTCGCGCGCGACCGCGCGCGGCGCGCGAAATGGAGACGCTTTGACACTTTGACACGTTGACGGAAGGGAGACCCAACTAGGTCCCCCAGCTTGGTGCCCTTTCACCCTTTTTCCAAGCTCTCTACTGGAGGACCTAGCCTTATTTTTCCGAATACTTCAAATGAGGATCCCAAGAATCAAACATATTGACTCCAGGAACTACTCACCTATTTGTTTCCAACAGGCATGAGCTTGCATGAGCGTATTCTGGGCATGTGTTCTAGTTTTTTAGTGGTTTGCTTCTGTTCGTGGCCAGCGGGTGGCTGCAAAACTAAGTCGTGTGTTCACATGCCATTGGAAAGTGATGAGAGGCAGCTGGCATTTTCCTCAATTCCGGTTATGCAGCCACTAGGAATGGGGCAGAGAGGACCATCTGACACCTGAGACTTGTGTCCATGGTAAACCTCATCTTGCTGGTTCGATGGGCAGGGAATGAGAAACTGAATGACCTCAAACCATCAAACTGTTGGGAACGAAGGAGGAAAGCTGCTTTCTGGTCACGCATGTATTACAGTGGGCGCATATTCACCCAACCTACTCTCTTAAAACTACATAGATATTGCTTTGTTGATGTTGTAGCTGTGTGTTTGTGTCTGCAGTTTTGTTGGATGACATCAGGTACTCCCGTTGGGTCCGAATTGAGTTTATATGAACCAACATGCAATGCCCCTTCCTGATTTTCCAGCGTGTGGCTGAAATAACCCAGCTGTCAGATCACTGTGTTTTGTTGCCGTTTGCTGTCCGGTTTTGTTTGTTGGCAAAGGGATATATGTTTAGTCAAACAGAGAATAATGTCAGGAGACGATTAGTACCCCCCCCCCCCCCGATTAAAGGTTTCCCCTTTTCCCCCCCAGGTTCCAACCAACACTAAAGTAAAGGGCCAACAAGATTTCCAAAAAAGACCTACCCAATAATTTTTGAGCCCTCCCCAAAACCCCCCTGATTAAAGGTATCCCTCTGCAGCCCCCGAGCCAACAAAACCTGCCAGAAAAGGTGCTTTCCTTCTTGCTTAGTATTTGCTTAGTCTGTGCTTAAACCCACAAATACTAAGTCACTATTGAACCCCTCAAGTTTTCCCCAAAAATGTGCTTCCCCCGAAATGCATTTGTCTTTATTAAAAAATGTTTAAAATGACAAGGTGTTCAAGCTCACAAAGGGGACCCCCTTGAAACCCAGTCCCCCCTCATTAACAGAAAACCCCCCCGCGATTAATCAGGGCCCTTTTGGGCTCAAACCAAAAAATATGCTGGTGCCTTTTAAAGTCCTACTGCCCCGAGCTGGACCAGAAGTAAAAAGACGAGGACCGAAGGGGCTCCGGAGTAATCAGGGGGGTCCTCCCAAAAATCTCATTTTTGGGGACTTGTCCAAACCTTGTCAACCGAAGGGCGGGGGGGGGGGGGGCGGTTTACTAATCAGTTGTCACCATTACTTTTCCAAGTGGACTATATACGTTTTGGGAACACCAGTTTCGTGGTGAACAACAAATGCTTGACTTGTTTGGCCAATGCACTCGGGAAGTGAATGAAGGTTTGATAGGACACATCTTGTTCAGGCTAGCTTTACAAAAGACCGCAAATCCGGTGGCAGTTCAACATCTGGTAAGTAGGTACCCACAGCTCTAAGCGGGCGAATCTCAATTAGGCCAGGAATGCTAGGGTAGCTTCCCCATTCTTTTCAGGGATCTGAATCTTTCCAGAAAACCGCCAAAAACCCTGCTAAAACGGCGATCGGTGTTTGAAAAGAACGATGGCTGAAAAGACTGGAGATGGAATCAAGCCCTGGAATTATGGTTTGCTATTTCACATGGCTTGAAGAATGCTGGGCCACCTTATCCACAAGCAGATGATCTTCCCAACATGGCACCTGGGATTTTATCGCCCGGGGCATCTGGATCAGAAAACCTCTTACCAATTCCCTTGTCACGAAAGCTAGCTTTAGCTAGCTGAAGTTTCTCCTTGCGTAAGCAAGGTAAGGGGCTCAAATGCCGAAAGATTGATTTTTTCAATTATTTGAGCCGAAAAGATTGAAAAACATCAATCATTTAGACCCCCCCCCCTCCCCCCCCCCCGGTCTCAGGCTCGATTCCTCCCTGGTCCATCCCCCCCCCCTCAGGCAGTGGCTCAGTGTTCAGCAGTCTCGGTTTGCCCGTTTTGGACTTGGTGCTACGAACTTTTACATGTTCCACCGATTCAGCTTGTTCATTTGAGACCTCAGTCTTCTCGGTAAACCACCTCGCAAGAATCTTTGCACACGCAGCATGCAGAACCCAGAGGTGCTTTAAGACAGCTTCTGACGCCTCTCGTTGTTTTCATTTTTCAAGGTTTGCCACGCCACCATGTGCGTTTGCGTGTCGCGTCCTACGAATCTTGCCGGGCCTCTCGTTGTACACAAGCTACCTATGAATCCACTCTTTCACCGACCCATCTCATGCAACAACTGCTAGCTTTCGTTCACCCGCTCCTCAAGTTCAGGTGCGGCAAGGGAGAGAGAGTACACCAAGAAAACCAAACAGAAAACACACATTTATCTGGGGCGGGTGGCTTTTCTGAGCTGTTTGGGGTGACTTTATTTCTGGTTTTTTCAGGGTTTTGCTTTTCCTGGGAGGGCAATTTTCCCTCACTCGGGAGGTTTTTTTCCCTCTGTGCAAGAATAGAACATGCTCGGTGCCCTTTTGGTGTGGCCTGCAACGTGAGCTTCACTTGGATTTGGTGCGGAGAAGGAAGGAGGAAGCATGAGAAACAGCCATGGTTACACCTCCTTTTGGTTCAAAACCGCCAAACAAAAGTCCCCTCAAAATAGTCAGACCCAAGCTACAATCCACACAGCTGAACCCAAGTAACAAGTATGCGCAACAAGAAAACGTGGCTTCCGACTTCGGGTTGCACCAAGCTACCCACACCTCCAAATACCCGCTAGCCAAGGCCGAACTTCCAAGTTGTTTGCCTCCTTTACTCGCTTTAAACGGGTGTTTCTGATTGGCGACAGCTTAGGCCAGAATCAAAGACCTGGACAAGTGAACCCCATGTTTTGAGCAGAAGGAGACTTCAAGCATCTTTGTTGGGGTTGGTTTGGAGGGAAACCAAAAAGCAAACCACACATGTTTGGAGTCACCACAGACATCGGTGCCGTCTGAACCAATGTTCGTTGCATTGGTTTGGGGATCGACCATGCAGTACCCTCCCACTCTTTTTTTACACGAAGCCGCTCGATGTTCGGGACGAACGTGCCTTTAAAAGGAGGATGGTCCACACCAGGACCCCCCCGAATGTCGAACGGTTCCATGCAAAGAAAGGTGGGTGATTGCTTTTGTTTTACCTCCCCTTGCTGGTTTAAAGGAAATCCATCCCTACTGGACATAGTTTCTCATATATTTTTCCGGGGTGGGCGAAACTGCTGGAAGCTACCGATGTGTTTTGATTGTCTAGGTCCCCCAGCAGTGCCCTTTGGGTTCCCCTACTAAAATAGACTACCGGCAAGAATAAATAAAGGTACCAACTTCTAACCTGTCTACTGGAGGACCGAGTTGTGACGTCCGTTGCATTTCCGTCTCTGCCTCGGGCCGTCGTGGCCTCGTGGGCTGCGGGGCTGTCGTGAGGTTGGCTATGCCTTTGTGAACTTCCTGGAGCCGAAGGACGGGGAGCGGTGCATGGAGGTCTTCCACAACTACATCTTCCAACGCTACCGCAAGGCGGAAACGGGGGTGGGGAGGGGGAGGAGTCACTCGAGGGCTCACGGCCATGGCTTTTTGGTTTTGTTTTGGAGGTTTCTTTTGGGAGGATAACCCCCCAGCCCCGTGGTTTTTTGGCGGGAGAAAGTCGGAGACACGCCAAAATGGAGGAGGAGAAAAGGCAGTACTTGAAGGTCTCCCCACCCCAAACAACTTGGGGAAACAACTTGGAGAAGCAACTTGCCCACTTGAGTTGCTGCTCGGGAAGAAACTCCCAAAGTTGCAGGCTTTCAGCCACTTTCCTTCTCGTGCCAAGGCTTTTTTTTGAGGGGGGGGTTCTGCTCGTCGGTGTTTGTGTGTGAGGGTGTTTTTTTTGTTCCTCGGCAAAAATCGGTGTGATGGCGGTTATCTCTTGTTCCCTTGAGGTTTTGTTTTTCCAACTGGCAGTGGGTCAAAAATAGGTGAAAATGGTTTGCCCTGGTACCTGGAGCTAAGGACAAAGACCTGCGGTCCATATCCCATACCCAACTGAGCCACAATCAAAACCTGGGTAGATGAAGGTTAGGGATGATCCCAGCCATAAATAGCTGCGGAAATTTCCGGCTTCTTAATTCTTTACACATGGTTCTGGGACTACGACCATTTTTGTACCGATCGGTTTTGATTGCGACCCAACTGAGGCGCGGGGCAAGATCGCGGCGGTGTCCATCGCGCATTTGCAGGGCCTCGAGGCGAACCTGAGGCACTACCAGCGCCCTGGTGGCCGGGCGGTTGCGGGGGGGGGGGGGGGGGTGGACTTCCATTTGCTGAAATGAATTTATGTTTTTCCCCTGTTGGTTTTAAAGGGAATCGATTTCACTACTGGAAATATGTTGATTGCTTCCAGGGTCTTAACCAAATGGAAGTTGAGGTGCAGACCAAAGCACGGGGTCCAAAAGCAGGCCACTGCCTGTAGAAACAGATCAGATGGGCGAAAGCTGGTGCTGGGCTTTATGCCATCCATTTCGGGACACTTGGAGTGTACACCGACTCATGAGACACTTCTCATGAGACGGTAGCCCAAATGGGACTTTCAACTTGTAACTGTCCCAGGTATCTGAGGCCTGACAGTCCTAAATTCTCCCAAAGGGACATACCAAACCAGCGGATAGAAGCAGAAAACCGCGCGCTGGCAAATGAGCTGAGAGGGACACTTGTTCCATTTGTGAGACCAGAAGGCACAAACTACACCTAGAAGCCAAAGGCCTTTTTTGTTCTAGGAGAGGTTCTTGGAGCTCTCCTAGGTGCCCGGGGTAGGGCCTCTCTCCAAACCCAGCTTCCGGGGTCCTGCTATCCCCAGGTTTTCGTGTTCGGGTCTGATGCCCACTTCGGGTCTGACTCTCTGTCTCTCTCTCTCTCTCTCGCTGTCTCTGTTGCTCTGTCTCTTCTGTCTCCCTGTCTCCTTCCTGTCCACGCCCCTCTACAGAAAAAGGGTACCCTAATTCGAACCTCTCTACTCTCTCACTTTCTCGCTCTTTCTCTCTCTCTCTCTGTCTTTCTGTGTCTCTCTGTCTCAGTCTCTGTCTTTCTCTCTCTCGCTGTCTCTCTCTCTCGCTCTCTCTCTGTCTGTCTCTTTCTCTGTTTCTCTGATTCTGGCTCTCTCTGTCTCACTCTCTGTGTCTCGCTCAATCTCTCTCTCTCTCTCTGCATTGCAGCGTCACGTCCCCCCCTGAGTTGCCTCGATGTCCGGGCACTGCCCCTGCATGACCCTGAACTGTCATCTCACTACTGGCTTTCCCCTTGATTTCCCCTTCATGTCCTTGTCACGTTTCCCATGATGTCCTGGTCCGGTCCCTTCCATGCCGTTCCACCCCCCCTTCATGTCCCTGACATTTTCTGGGTATGTCCGCTTCATTTTCCATGTATGTCCCGTTCTTTCGTTGCGAGTCATTTCCCTACATCTCCCGTCGTGCCGATTGGTTTCCTTGTGCTTTGTTTCCCTTTCCTTCCCCCTGCACTCCCCTTGTTTTCATTTCTGTCCCTTGCATGTCCCTTGCCCCTTTGTTTCCATTTCGTGTCCCGCCGCTTTCCTGTCATGTCGACTTCCTATTTCCTCCCCTCATTTCCTTGCACTTCCTTGCATTTCCCCTTTGCTCCCCAAAATGTCCCGCAAAAAACACAGTTTTTCCAGCGTTTTTGCAATTAGGACGTCCAAAAACACAGAGTTTTTCCAGATTTTCTGCAAAAGGAGGCAGGAACCCCAAACCAGCAAAGAGGCGGCAGGGGGAATTGAGCCTGGGACCCCTGTTTTGCGACACCGGCTTCGCGAAGACTACGTTTAGTGGAACGTCATCAACTTGCCGCGCGGTGTTTGGGGGGGCGGGCCCACGTATCAGACGTTGGGCGGGGGGGTTGGGTTATCCTCTATCCTCTCTTAGGTGTCCGACACGCAGCAATGTCGGCGGATATTCTGGATACGGTTCCTCCGGCATTTTCCAGGCTTCAAAAAGGCATGGTACCCAGGCTGGGGGATGGGGGTCTGTGGACCCTCGCCTCAGAACTTTGCGTCATGCGTTCTTGCTGGTTGAAGGAAACCACCGGTTTGATGGTTTATGGGAACTGGGTGTGGCCCAAAATTAAAGAGCTAGGGTCGCGCAGGTTTTAGTCTTTTGTTGTCACTTACCAAGGTGCCATTCCATGTTTTGGAGCCACAGCCAACTATTCCCTCATGACCCGGGGTTTGGGAATGAACATACTAGGGGTTCCCTTCAAGGGAAACCACCTGTTGGCTGATTTATTTCTCGGGTGGTTCCAATTCTTCTCTGAGCGAGTGAAGGTAGGGATTCCCTGGAAGGAAACCACCTGTTGGCTGGTTTGTGGAGGTCGTCCCATGTCTCATTTCCTGCCCATTGAACCAGCCGCCGCCAGTTTTTATAAGCACCGAATCGAGCGGCAATAGTCCCCCCTTTAGCAAAAACACTATACTGAGGGGGGGGGATACCCAAAGTACAGAGATGTTTGTGTACATGTTTGGGGGTGCCAAAGACAGCCCATTAATAATGCCTGCCCATACGCGGTTGTACCTTCTGGGGGGAAGTGACTCGAGCGGCGCAGCGAGGAACTCGGCGGTGAACATGGCGCCACGTATCAAGCAGCAGCGGGGGCCCCTCATCATCCCCCGCGGCCAAATCGCCGGCGGCTTGGCGATGCATCATCGCGGCATCGCGAGTCTTGGGCCGACTACTCAGGTGTGCAGTGGCACCAATTATTTTTCCCCTTTTACTTGGTGGCTGCCCCACTAAAAATGGTCTTCCAAAAGAAGGGTTCCCTCTTTTTTCCGAGGGTCACTGAACAACTGAGACTGGGAGTTTTTGAGGTTTTGGCGGGGGGGAGGGGGCAAGGACTGAGGGGCTCCAAAAGGACCTGGGCCAAATTCGATTTTTTTCGTGGGGTTTGAAGCGAAAAGCCGAAAAATAGGGCGTCCCATAGCCCCAACACCTCTGCCAGACCTTTCCGGACCACGTTCGGGGCATCCTTGGAGCGTGTATTTAGAAGGAGAACCTCGTCCCAAAGAAGAACAGGCAGCCTGTGGAGGTCTAAGTGAGTCTTTCTCAAAATCAAGGGAGCATATACCTAGGTCCCCCAGCTTGGTGCCCTTTCTCACCCACTTTTTTGGGGGAGGGTGCCCCTGCTAAAAATCGACCACAGCAAAAAGGGTACCCTTATTCTAACCTCTCTACTGGAAGACGTAGACATATACTGGATGCTTGTTTGCAAGCCGACACCTGTCACGATGAAGAAAAGGGCCAGGTCCCTCCTCAAGAGGGAAGCGTCTTCCCCTGTGATGCAAAGTGGTTGGCTCCCATACGAGTTCATCAATTTCGAGGGCAGACAAAGCCCGGCTCACGTTTCCACAAGCCAAGCACTGTCCATTGTCCAAGGCCTTGTTTGGGGTAGTCCGCTTGGGTGTGGCTCTAAATTCAAGAGCTAGGGTTACGCAGGTGTTAGTCTTTGGTTCCATTTACCAAGGGTGCAATGTTGATACATGTTTTTGAGCCACAGCCACTTATGAAACTGAACCTGAACATGTTGCTTCTATACCCCAGTAGGCCAAAGCGTGAGGGTACAACGAAGCTCCTCGCATCTGCCTAGGATTTCTGGAGGCCTGGGGTGTTCGTGCCTTTGTCTGGTTTGAAACTCCCTGCCGGTGCTAAGAGAAAATTCTCCAGCCCGGTGGTCTGATCCTCATTTCAGGTGAATTGTCCAAGGGCTTCGCCACACGCAAGCTGCGCTGGCTCCGCGGGGTAAGCACGGTACCACTGTAAGAAGGGTTGACTGGTTTCGCTGATACATTATGTGTTGCTCCTTGTTGTGCTTCGGCTGCAAGCAAACAATCAAAACCCGGTGTTGTAGTTCAAGGTTCCGAGGAGTCAGTCCGCCATGAATTGGGGGCTTGCCTTGTTTCGGCTTGAATGGTTTGAATTCGAGCCAACCAGGCGTATCCTTCCGCTCGTGCGTTTCGTCACGTGCTTTGGTAGGCTCCTTTCGTGGTTGTTGTTGGGAAACATTTCACATGTTTGCTTATTGTGGTTTAGTGGGAAATCCCCACTTAACTGCTAAGATGGTATTTTTGTTGGCTCCCCTTCCAAGGTCAACCAAGCTTTGAGTGGCCGGGTTTGGGTTGTTACTTACTTGTTGGTTGCTGCTGAGTGACACTTCGGTCGTTTCGGACTCAGGGGCCTTCGGGCTAAGGCCTCGTTGCCATCCTAGGACCCGTCCCTTGCGCTGAGTTCCCCTGGAAGAAATGCCTCCGTTGTCCTTTTGTAGAAGGGGTTTGACGTCGCCCAACGCAGTTGGAAGGGAAGCCTGGTGATACGCAAGGATCCCAACCCCCATCATCTCTCTCAATTGTCGCTCTGATAAGTTGAAAGGTCAGCACTCCAGAATGGGTCGGAAGCCTTTTGTGCTGGGTTGCGGTTTGGTCCCTGACAAAAGGAAACATCGGCCCAAGTAGTGTGCCTAGTTTCAACACGTGCCCATGCGTCGCTAGTCCCCAACCGCCTGAATTGCACCGTTCCCCCCCAATTGGAAGCAAGAGACTTCCGCGCCCGTGGTGTTTGTTTTTCTTGCTTTTCTGAGGCAACCTTTGCTAAGAGCTTACGAGCTCAGGCGGGGATTTCGCGGATTCTGGCCGCAGGAACCCAGCTTGATCAACAGTTGGCTGCAAAGAAAGGGGTTTGCCGAGGAGATATGGAACCCGGCAAGGTTTGTCGGCTAGACCTCTGGCTGTGGTTGTCAAAACCAAGGGGATCCCATTTTGGAGTAGGTGAATTCACCACCCATTTTAGGCTTTATTTTAGTGGGGATTGGGATGTTCAATGGGGGTACGGGATTTTGACCCATGGCCATCTGTTTCTTAGTTTTCGAATAAGGGCCCCTGCAGCTTTATGCCCAAGTCGCGGGATTTTCGCTGAGCTGGAGCAGTACTTGCATTGTTCGTTCGAGAAGCCCTCGCTTCGAGTGATGTTGGCTCCGAAACGCGCCCAAAGTGGCTGTGTCTTTTCCGAGGTACCTTCTTTGGGATTGGACTTTGGGCTTCCCTGTTCTTTGGAAATAGACTCTCGGCCATTGAGCAACCGCTCGTGCAGGTAGCATCTCCGAATCAGGAGTGAGCAGGTTGCAGATCGACGGGGTCAAAAGTGTAGGCCGCGAGCCGCATGGTACAGATCAAAGGCTGTCACTTCGAATTCCCGCGGCTCACGTGCTTTTGACTTCGGATCTTTTGGGAGTGAGCTGACTGAGCGATCGATGGATGCTCCAGCCACGCTCCGAACACCATTTAACAGTTTTTACTAGTAGACTCAAATACGCCGTGAGACACCTCAGCTCCAAGTGATCGGCCAACCCCGGGGGTCCATCTGCCGATCTGCGCACGACTTTGGGTATGCGACTCGCTCAGTGCAACTAAGTGCGAGGCGTTTTCTTGTTAGGGGAGGGGGGGGAGGCCCCAAAGGTAGCAACAGCTATTGTGTGTCTGTATGTGTCAAAAGCCGGGATGATGGTTCTCCTCTTGGCTTCCCTTGCCAGTGTGAAGATATGATCAAGGCGGATCCCTGGATTGGTTTGGAGAGAGGGCGCGGCTCAGCCTACCCCGGCAAGGCGGCAACACATCGCTAGCGCCTTTTTCGCGAAGCCCGGCCGACGGCTCCGGAGCCCATGTCCAGTCTTACCCGTCCTTGTGAGGTCAACAGTTGGGTGCCAACTGAAAAGACGGAGCTTTGAGTTCGGAATGGTTGGATTTACCTTGCATCTGGCCATCAAGGATTGAGATAAGGGGACTAGGTCCCCCAGCTAGGTGCCCTTTTACCCTTTTTTTGGGGGGGACTGCGGCCAAAAAGGGTACCCATATTCTAAGTCCTCTGTACTGGAGGAGCTAGGGGATCCCCCTCTGCCAGGTTGATAAAAGGTCACATATTGAGTCAACATCCGTCGCCCCGAAGCCTCTCGGTCCCACAACCGGTGCCACTGTTCTTTTGTGCCTCAGTTTTCTTTCGACTTCCTGAAGCACTTGTCGCACTTGCCCCCCCCGCCCCACACACACACACACACACAAGGAGGACCAAAAGTCCGACATGCGGGAGGGTGTTCCTCCAGAAATGCCGAATTGACCAGGAAGTCTAAGAAGCGAAGCGAAGTGTTTGGTGTTGTTTTCCTTGGCCACGCGATTTTTTTTAATCCAGTCCTCAGGAAGTGGCAAGCCTCTCTGAGCCATGCGGTTTCGGAACTAACACACTGCGCGCAGCGAAACGACCCACTGTGCAAAGCCAAGAAGCTTAGCGGCCGTTTCTCCCCCCCCCCCCCCCCGCAACAAATCAGGATGAGCGATCTCCACGGCCCGGAAAATCGGTGGAGTGATGGGGATTGGAACCCCCTGCCATGATAGAACCTCCCTGGGGCATTGCCCTCTTGGTAGCTCTCGGCGAGAGCGCGGCGAGACCGCGAGAGCGCGTCGGCGGGGTCACCTTTGCCCGTATAGCTAGTGGCCTCAACTGCTTGGGCGGGGAACCTGGCGCGTCCGAAAGTCCTTCCATTTGACCGCACGATCCCCCAGCAACACGAGCCACGGAGAAGACAACCCGCTGCAAGGGTGGTTTAGCTTGATGGCGAGCGAGTTTGCCAAATAGTGTCAGCTGCTCCCAAAAACACGAGGTGTATCTTTATGCATGTGTATATATATATATATATACTTTAGAGCCTCCGGCTCAGTCCGCCGACATTGTCCTCTCCCTTTTCTCCTTCTTCCTCTCTTCCTTGTCTCCCTTGTGTGTTCTGTCGTCCTCTCTCCCTCCCTCTGCTCCCATCCTCCCCATCCCCCCAAGCCTCTCTCTCCCCAATCTCCCTCTCTCGTATGTATGCATGCATGTACATAAGTATGTATGCATGTATGTATGTATGTATGTATGTATGTATGTATGTATGTATGTATGTATGTATGTATGTATGTATGTATGTATGTATGTATGTATGTATGTATGTATGTATGTATGTAATACAATGTATGTAATGTAATGTATGTATGTATGTGTATGTATGTATGTATGTAATGTATGTATGTATGTATGTAATGTATGTAATGTATGTATGTATGTATGTATGTATGTATGTATGTATGTATGTATGTATGTATGTATGTATGTATGTATGTATGTATGTATGTATGTATGTATGTATGTATGTATGTATGTATGTATGTATGTAATGTATGTATGTATGTATGTATGTGTAATGTATGTATGTACGTATGTATGTATGTATGTATGTATGTATGTATGTATGTATGTATGTATGTATGTATGTATGTATGTATGTATGTATGTATGTATGTATGTAATGTGTATGTATGTATGTATGTATGTATGTATGTATGTATGTATGTATGTATGTATGTATGTATGTATGTATGTATGTATGTATGTATGTATGTATGTATGTAATGTATATGTAATGTAATGTAATGTAATGTGTAATGTATGTATGTATGTATGTATGATGTATGTATGTAATGTATGTATGTATGTATGTATGTATGTATGTATGTATGTATGTAATGTATGTATGTATGTATGTATGTATGTATGTATGTAATGTAATGTAATGTAATGTAATGTAATGTAATGTAATGTAATGTAATGTAATGTAATGTAATGTAATGTATGTATGTATGTATGTATGTATGTAATGTATGTATGTATGTATGTATGTATGTATGTATGTATGTATGTATGTATGTATGTATGTATGTATGTATGTATGTAATGTATGTATGTATGTATGTATGTATGTATGTATGTATGTATGTATGTATGTGTATGTATGTAATGTATGTATGTAATGTATGTATGTATGTATGTATGTATGTATGTAATGTAATGTAATGTAATGTAATGTAATGTAATGTAATGTAATGTAATGTATGTATGTAATGTATGTATGTAATGTAATGTAATGTAATGTAATGTAATGTAATGTAATGTATGTATGTAAATGTAATGTAATGTAATGTAATGTATGTATGTATGTATGTATGTAATGTATGTATGTATGTATGTATGTATGTATGTATGTATGTATGTATGTATGTATGTATGTATGTATGTATGTATGTATGTAATGTATGTATGTATGTATGTATGTATGTATGTATGTATGTATGTATGTATGTATGTATGTTTGTATGTAATGTATGTATGTATGTATGTATGTATGTATGCATGCATGCATTCATGCATGTATGTATGTATTTCCCGCAAAAAAAACACGGTTTTTCCAGCGTTTTCGCAAAGAGGACGTCCAAAAACATTGAGTTTTTCCAGATTTTCGGCAAAAGGATGCAGGAAGCCCAAGCCAGCAAAAAAGCCGGCAGGGGGAATCGAGCCTGGGACCCCTGTTTTGCGACACCGGCTCCCCGAAGACTACGTTTAGTGGAACGTCATCAAATTGCCGCGCGGTACGTGGGCCCCCCCCCCCAAAAAAAAAAACCTACGTAATAGACGTCGGGCGGGGGGGGGTTAGGGGGGGGTTATCCCTATCCTCTAGTAAGTATCCGACACGCCAAGCAATGTCGGCGGATATATATCTACACATGTGTATACACACCACAATATCTGTACAAATATATATATATATATGTAAAAATCACTATGTAAAACATTTATATATCCGCCCATGGCAGCGTCTAGGCTTTGCAGCTGCGAACTCACGTGTTACGCACTCCTGGCCTAGAGGGGAGCAAGACAGAATCTTCGCAAGGCATGGCTTGAAGAAATTCCTCATCACCTTTGGGTGTGTCTTTCTTTAGACCCGCCCTCCCCCCCAAAAAAATACATATGAAAAAGCAGAGAAATGATGGTGTTTTTTGTGAAATTCCCTTCCAAGCCCACCAAAAAAGGGGTACCCTCAAAAGAAAGACACGCCCATATTGCTTAACACTAATCACACAAGCGACAGTTCAACATCTGTGAGCTTTAGTGTTTGTCCACAAGGGGTTAAATGTTTCGTATATATGGCATATATATAATATATATATATATATATTACTACTCGTACTACTACTTCGGCGACTACTGCTACTACTACTACTGCTGCTGCTGCTTCCGCGAATCATACCCCCGAATCATACCCCGAATCATACCCGCGAATCATACCTGCGAATCATACCCCGTACTCAAACCTTCCTGCCCGGCCACCCTAAAAAAATACAAACCCATATATATATATATACATACAGAGATACATAGTACCCTCTATTTCTCTGTTTTGGCTATTTTGCCAGGATGGTTGGCATTTGTTCAGCCAAAGCTGGCACCAAGGAAAAAGGCGCGCCATAATTATGCTTACCAGTTGTTGAGTTCACTCCCCTTTGTCCCGTTTCTGCATTTCCCGGGGTCTGGTATGCCTTCATCTTGCTTTTGTAATGGAATGGCTTTCTGTCCAGTAAGCGAGAGCTAAATCGCTTCATACACTATACTATAGTCTTAAACTGACTCTATGGCCCTTGATCTGGAAGCTTTCTTGGACCATTCTTGGACAATTCTGAGTCTTGAATCCAGAAATATGGGCAAAAGGTACTCCGAAAACTTGCTCGGAGAAACTTGCGCAGAGAAACTTGTGCAAATAAATTGAACACAGAAAGACTCAGCTTATTCTGTGCAAAAAACCACGCGGCGAGTTTGCCGTGCGAACATATCTTGCCTGCAACAGAGTAAAGGATGTTTTCTGGCCAAGGCCTTCGAGTTAGTTTTTGTGCAAGAAACACCTAGTGGTCTTGTGTGGGTCCGGTATCTAGAATTTCCGGAGGCTTCTAGCATGTCTATGTGTGAGACATCTTTGCCTGGGGATGCGTGTTTTCTTGGAATTGTGAAATGGAATTGCTTGTATGTTTGCTTAAGTCTGCTTCAAAATAGTTGAAACACTACAGCCTGTCTGCCCAATCCAAGCAAAACGGGGTGGCAGCAAAAATAGATAAAGCTCTACAGCCTGCGCGCTCAAATGAAGCAAAACGGGCGCACCCCGGCACATATACGGGGGTTGATCAGAAGGTCCTTTACCCTTGGTCATTTGGAGGGCCAGGATGATTGATCAACCCCCATGTGGGTGTCTCAAAATAGGTGACCCCCCAAAATTTATGGTTTCGTCTAATTTCCCTTTCAAACCTACCAAAAAAATGGGGTCCCCTATTTT